ACCCAACTTTGTCAGACCGCAGGTGGTCTTTATCAGATGGGCTTTATTTTGAGACTAATAGTGAATGCAAAATGTTTGCTCTATTTGGCACCTAATAGGCATTTAAGAAATGGTAAAATTATTTTTTAGTATTCATGTGTTGATTTGATAAATGTTTATTTGATGTCTAGTACTTGCAAAGCGCAAATTTACTGCTATGAGAGATATACAGATGAAAAAATCACTTCAGCTATTAATTTACATAACACCGGGGAGTGAATCCAGGGCCTATGCACTGAGCTATATCCCCAGACTTTTCTTTATCTTTTACTTTGAGACAGAGTCTTGGTAAGTCACTGAGTTAGTTGCCCAGCCTGGGCTCCAGTCCACTTGTTACCCAGCTGGGGTTCTTGTTCAGGCTTTCCATGTCCTAAACAAAGAACTCAGCAGGACACCCCCAACATTTGCAGCATGATCAATGATTTATTTGGAAGAGAAAAGACAAGATCTAGTCCACAGAGTGAGAGCATAGAGTAAGAGAGCTCAAGACCCCAAGAAAGGCTTGGTGTTTGGGGTGGAGTGGTACAAGTTTCTGACCTTTTATGGCTCATAGAGGGACTGTTCTGGGGTACAAAGCCGACGGGGGATCAAATCATAGTCAATGACATGGTAATTAGGGTTAGGGTTGGCCAAGGGTTGCAGAAAAATATTTAGTCACTGGCTGTGTACCAGTTAGGTTACCTGGTTATGCTTTCCCATTGCGTTTATACCTGGGCATCCTGACCCTAGGCTAATGTTTAATTCACAAGGTGGATATAGTTCCAGAAGTGGGGTCTCCAAGGCAGGCCCTCCCTTCTTTCCCAGCCATTTTCCTGGTTACCTGATGCCTCAGATTTAGCCCAGAAGCAGGCTCTAAAGCTTCCCACAGTGCTACTATTGCGAGTATGTGCCACCATGTCCAGCTCATTTTAATTTTATATAGAAAAAACAACTATATTTTCAATTATTAGGAGAATATTATCGACTGCACATCACTTTAAATACTATCAAGTGTAAACCAAACCAAATCAAAACAAAACCCATTATTTTACAGGTAAAAAGTTCAATTAGCTGGGCATGGTGAGGCATGCTTATAATCCCAGCACTCTGAGAGGCTGGGGTAGGAGGACTGCAGGTTTGAACTCAGCCTACACAACTTAGCAATTTAGCAAGACCCTGTCTCAAAACAAGAAAATGATAAAAGGGTTGGTGATGTAGTTCAGTGTGAAGGCCCTTAGTTCAATCCCCAATACTACATAAAAAGTACAATTTACATGATTTAATACACCAAAAACTCCACTTTTAAAGTTAATAACCAAATTCAGGAAAGCAGCTGGATGCAAAGTCAACACTTAAAAACTAATAGCATACCTGTACACAAATAACAAACTTACTGAGACAGAAATTAGGTTTCACAATAGCATCCAAAAACACATGAAATATCTAGGAATCAGTCTAACCAAGTAAAAGACCTTCACATTAAAAACTATAGTACTCTGAAAAAGGAGATTGAAAGGATATCAGAAAATGGAAAGATATCTCTTGTTCTTCAGTAGGAAGAACCAATATAGTGAAAAGGGCCATACTTCCAGAATTGTTACAGATTTAGTGCAATTCCTATCAAAATACCAATAGCATACTTCACAGAATTAGGAAAAAATAATCCTAAAACTCATTTGGAACCAGAAGAGGCCTAGAATAACAAAAGCAATTCTGGGCAACAAAGCCAAGACAGGGAGCATCAAAATCCCTGACTTGAAATTATACTACAAAGCTACTATGATAAAAACAGCATGGTACTCAATCACTGGTACCAAACAAAAACAAACAATAAACAAAACAAAACAAAACAAAAAAACCCAGAATGATACTGGCAAAACAAAAAACAAAAAACTCCAGACCTAAGGATTAATGGAATAGATTAGAAGATGCAGAAACAACTCCAAATACACTCAGCCACCTTATCTTTGACAAAGGGGCCAAACTTCTTCACTGGAAGAAAGATAGCCAGCCTCTTTAATAAATGGTGCTGGAAACACTGGCTTTCCACATGCCAAAGATTAAAACTAGACCCATATCTTTCACCATGCGCTACTCTAAAATCAAAATGGATCAAAGACCTAAATATTAAAACAAACACTGTATATGTTGAAAGACAGAATAGGTGGAACTCTTGAGGACACAGGTGTAGGCAAAGACTTTATGAACAGAACCCCATAGGACAGGAAATATTACAAAGAATCAACAATTGGCATCTCATTAGAAAAGTTTTTGCACAATAAAAGTAACCACCAATAGAGTGAAGAGACAACTCACAGTGGGGAGAAATGTTTGGCCAGCTGTTCTTCAAACAAAGGACTAATATCTAGACTATGTAAAGAACTCAAAAAATTTAGACTCCCAAATTTAAAGACCCAAACCAAAAATGGGCATCCGAAGTGAACAAACACTTCTCAGATGAAGAAGTAGAAATACCAAATAAATATAAGAAAAATGTTCAACATCACTGGTCATTTGAAAGATGAAAATTAAAACAACCCAGAGATTCCATCTCACTCCAGAAAGAATGGCTACTATTAAGAAATCAACCAATAACAAATTGGCAAGGCTGTGGGGAAAAGGGAACCCTTCTCCACTGTTGGTGGGAGTATAGACTGGTGTAACCACTGTGGAAATCAGCGTGGAGATTCCTCAAAAAGCAAAAACTAGAGGTTTCATTTGACCCAGCTATTCTTCTTCTTGGTATCTTCCCGAAAGAATTAAAAGCATCCTACCACAGCAATATATACATACCCATGTTTATAGAGGCACAATTTGTAATAGCTAAATCTTAGAAACAGCCCAAATATCCACCAGCCAACAAATGGATAAAGATGTAGTTTTTTTGTACAATTGAGTATTACTCTCCCATAAAGAAGGATAACCTTGAGACCATACTCTTAAGTGAAATAAATCAGACAAACGTATTTAAATACTACCTTGTTTCTCTGGAGTGAGAAACCCAAAGTGTAAATAAGGACCAAAATGCATAATAGATACTGGGAAATGGAAAAAAAATGTTCAAATGAGAAGAGGAAAAAGGAAGGGAGGAGGGGGAAAGGAAGGAAGGGACAAAAAAAAGAATAGAAGGAAATAAATGGAAACGAAGCTTTTTTTTTTAGTACCAAGGATCGAACTCAGGTCCTTGCGCTTGAGCGGCAGGCCACCGAACCGCTGAGCTAAATCCCCGGCTGAAGCAAAGCTTTTATAAATAAGGAGGGGAAAGGTGGTTGAAAGGAAGGGAGGGGAATGGGGAAAAAAGAAGCAAGATGTATTATGTATAGGTACAAATTCCCTATGATGAATGTTATTATGTATATCTAAAATGTATCCCCCA